ATTTGGTGCCACTTCATCAGAAAGTGACGATAATCCAATATTTTATGCGATTATCCAGTTTTAAAGTTTATAAAGTCAATTTGCATTCTTTAATGGAAACATAGCTAGTGTCAAGTTTCTTTATGGCTTTTTTTTTTTTTCCCCAAAGTGAGTGTCGGGACCCCCAGGGGGTATTAAAAACACAGCACTAGCGTCAGATGCAGCACATAGATTTTATGGCACCAGGTTAACTTTCTGACACCTTTACGGCACTCGTGAACAAAAATAAATAAATACAGGCCACAACTGAACATGGAGTATGGTCTCCAAGTTGCGTTCTCCAAAATTAAACGATGAATAGACTTGGGGGTTATTGGTATGTGCGTGCCGTTGTGTGCAAGGTTTTTATATTTATAACCACCTCAAGAGGATTTTGGGGGTCACGGGTTGAAAAGTTAGGGAACTCCTGCCTTAATGCACCAGTAGCTAAAACTCGCTTATTCAGAGGCGGGAACCGACAGACATGCAACGACTTTGATCATAAGGTAAACACAAAACAAAAGTTTCCATCTGTAGCTCTTTATTAGTACACCACACTTGCAAACACTCGCTTCATCAGGCTCATGGCTCTCAGCACCGATGACATTCGTCAAAGCTACCAAGCCGACCAATCACAGAGCTTGCACTACGTGTCACTGTAATGTGTAGTTACATTTTTTAGAGGTGCGTGTCAGCATCTGCGTCAGCTATGGCGAGGACTAAGTGACTTTGCGAAGGCTTCGCCGGGCTATATGAGTGCACTTGATGCAGAATTATAAATCAGCCTTAACTGTCCTACAGTAAAGTACGGTTCATATTACAGTTAAGTACTGTATAATTTACAAAAATCGTTTACAGTGTATTTCAATTTGGTTACATGTAGGCTTAAAACAAAAAAAAACTCTGATCACAGTAAAACTTTCAATTCAAGTTTGTTTGTAGAGCGCTTTTCACAAGAATTATTCTTTCAAAGCAGCTTTACAAAAGGTGCACTTTATTGAAGTATAATCAAATTCGGTAAAGTTAAGGTTATTAGATACCATAACTTTATTAGTTACTAATAATTTTAACTAATTAACTAGTAAATAATAGCTTTTAACAGTGAAAATTATTAGATTTAAACTTACACACACTGGCCACTTTATTAGGTACACCTGTCCAACTGCTCATTACCGCAAATTTCTAAACAGCCAATCACATGGCAGCAACTCAGTGCATTTAGGCATGTAGACATGATCAAGACGATCTGCTGCAGTTCAAACCAAGGTGATTTAAGTGACTTTGAACTTGGCATAGTTGTTGGTGCCAATAACGTGCCATGTCATAAAGCGTGAATGATCTAAGACTGGTTTCTTGAACATGACAATGAGTTCACTGTACTCAAATGGCCTCCACAGTCACCAGATCTCAATCCAATAGAGCACCTTTGGGATGTGGTGGAATGGGAGATTCACATCATGGATGTGCAGTTGACAAATCTGCACTAACTGTGTGATGCTACCATGTCAATATAGACCACAATCTCTGAGGAATATTTCCAGTACCTGTTGAATATATGCCACATAGTATAAAGGCAGTTCTGAAGGTGAAAGTGGGTCCAACCCAGTACTAGTAAGGTGTACCTAATAAAGTGGCCGGTAAGGGTAGTTAACCTTTAGACCTAATTTATTTAATCTTTTTTTTTTCTTCAGATTAAAGCATAAACCCAGTTTGAATTGGTTACATTTATGCTTAAAACAAACAAACTACAAGTAATACTATCAATTTTCTTGTGCCAAATACACTTTTTAAGGATTTGTTTTTCTCAAAAATAAGGATTGCAGAACCCGTTTTTCCCCTCCGCAGTGGAATGGTGTATATTAGTAAAGCGTGCCACAATAAACTGCTCCCTGTTGATTTTTTTGTAGCGAGCACATAATATTTGAACATAAGTCTCATCATGGGGTGCAGTGTGTGCTATTAAAAACTGCTGTTTACATAGAGAGACAGACAGACAGACAGACAGCTGAAGGAAAATATGGATGCATTTCTTGCACAGCTCATAGCTTTTACTGTTTGAAGCTGTATCCTGCCTGCTGTGAAAAATAAGACAAAGAAAAAAAAAGCATTTTATATTACGGAGGAAAATATTGAATCTGTGCAAGATGGCACGTACGGTGGCCCATTCAGATCAATATTACTGTGTAGTGTTAGATGTGTATTTACCTTGTACAGCTGTACTCCTATAAATATGGTTTAATGTATTATTGATAGTTTCAAAGACTAAGTGATCAAATATTTTTATGAAATGCAACAGTATGGATATAATAAATTTTGCTAAAATCTTGTTTACCTGTATGATATTCTGATATACTGTTAAATAAACACTTGACAAGGTCTAAAGGTCATTTTTTGAGTTTTTTTTTATTCGCGTGTCTTGATTCTTGGAGTGTTGGTGTTCAAGGATTTAAAAAATGCAGTTTGCTTTTTTAATGCTGCACCTTTTTTTATTATTAAAAAAACTATTTTAAACAAGAACATAAAATCAATTTAAAAAGTGTAAAATTAACTTGATCTTTTTTTTATTGAGAAAAACTGGTGGAGTTTTATAGAAGTATTTTTCTTAGCTTTGTTAGCGCTTATTAGAAAAGCGTCAGGATTTATTTTTTTTACTTAGGTTATTTTGACTTTTTAAAGTACAATTGAGTTTTTTCATGATTATATTCTTACAATTCTGTTTCTGTCTCTCTCATATCAGAATTCTGACTTTATTTCTTCCACTTTTGAGTGTCAAGAAAAAGCTTGCAATTACAAACTCAGATTTCTGACAATTGTTTGTTCCTTGCAAATTGTTTAAATCCCAAATCAAAGATAACTGAAAGTTTCTATCTCAAATTTACAAAGTAATTGTGACTCTCACTATCATTTATTTAACTCTTCTGAATTTTAAATCTTATTTAAATTGAGTTTTTATTGTATCGTTTTAGAGGCTCACTTACTATTCTGCATTACTATATTTTAACTATACTAACTAAATCTCACAAGTTTGACTTCATTTTATCTTAAAATTGCAAGATACTGTATATCTAACCATTTTTATCTTTTTTCATCAGAAGGTTCTACATGCACAGGTAGAGTTTTTCAGCCAATGTTGAACTTCCTGTGAAAGCTTTGTGATTTTTTTTTTTTTTCAATTTAATGAAGTTCCTTTTACAGCATTGATGTTGTAATGTAGTTTAATTATAATCAGTTAAATAGACTTGATGACAAAATTAGCAGCAGGCTAGCGAAAAAATTCCATTCAAAATACTAGGGTAAGGCGACACAGTGGCGCAAAAGGTAGTGCTGTCGCCTCACAGCAAGAAGGTCGCTGGTTCGAGCCTCGGCTGGGTCAGTTGGCGTTTCTGTGTGGAGTTTGCATGTTCTCCCTGCGTTTGCGTGGGTTTCTTCCGGGTGCTCCAGTTTCCCCCACAGTCCAAAGACATGCGGTACAGGTGAATTGGGTAGGCTAAATTGTCCGTAGTGTATGAGTGTGTATGGATGTTTCCCAGTGATGGGTTGCTGCTGGAAGGGCATCCGCTGCGTAAAAACTTGCTGGTTAAGTTGGCGGTTCATTCTGCTGTGCCGACCCTGTATTAATAAAAGTGACTAAGCCGAAAAGAAAATGAATGAATAAATGATGCTGGGGTAAAATTAATTTCCATATTTTAAAGACATGGTGCTGAAAAATATAATTCAATACAGTGCTTCTCATTTGGTCTGATACCCACTTTATATTGTATCTCAGCCAGGCAGTGATGATCGCTGTTTTGTTTTTGTTTTTTTAAAGAAATCAGATCTTAAACACTGCGATTTTGTATGGGATGACAATTAACCGGAAGCTCTGGGTCTGGCTGACTGAAATGAAAAGTCTGTGTGCATATACTCCATTGCTACTTCATGTCATGTAATTCTGAATTCATGGCTTTCTTGTAATTCTCACTTTTTCTTTACAATACGGTATATGCAGAAGTATGCAGAAGGACTTTTAATTTTTCAGTAACCTGGGTCAAATGCTTTCGATGAAAAGTTTGCCTTTACAAAATCGATGCTTTTAAGGTCTGTTTTCTATCTTCAATGCCTAAATGATACACACCAGGGGTGTCCAAACTCTTTCCTGGAGGGCTGGTGTCCTGCAGATTTTTTTCTATGATAACCTGCTGATCCTGATGGGCACGTGCAAGTAAACGGCTTTTTATTTTGCTTTACGCTTCAACAACTACATGAAGTCTATTTAACTGATTATATTTTGATTACATTACAACATCACGGCTATAAAAGGTACCGTACAAAGATGAAAAAGTCACATTAACCTTTCACCGGAAGTATATCGATATTTGAGGAAACACTAGCTCCGCTTATACCCTATACTGCTTCAAAACTCAATTCAGCCTTTTGTTTTACATTTCTGAATTTTAAATCTTATTCTAATACACACATTTATATATTTTTCAGTTTAATGCTTTCCTTTGATTCTTACATACTATGCTTTTACTATACAAACTATATTTCCTACAGGTTTTACTTTTATATTTCTCAAAATTCCAAGATAAAAACGTTTTATTAAAAATGGTTAAATATGTTTGCCACACCCCATTCCTAAAATATATGTAATCTGACAAATTAACTGAAAAAAAGGGAAGTGCATTTTCAGATTTCAATTAAAGATAAGAAGGGCAAACATTTTTATTTTCTTAATGACAATCACAGATGAATTGTTCACCACAAAACTAGCAATGTGAGCTAACAAAATCATATAGTTAGTTTGGATTTTATGGGGACTTTAATTTCTTGCAATTGTAAATTGCTTCCTTGTAATTAATTCTAACAATTATTTTCCTCTCACTGTTCTGCCTCAAAACTTGAAACTATAATAAAGAACCCACAGTGGTAAGACTATGAGATATAAACTCATAATTCTGAGTCAGATTGTTAGAAATGATGTTTTTATTTTTGGCAGAAGTCTAGCTTGTGTGGTAGCTTACAAATATACAAAGAAGCCCTTTCTGCGCCGTACCACAAGATGGCGCATTAAACAACATTATTAACCGAAAAATAGTCAAAGAAGAGGTTGATCAAAGAAAAGACTTTATGGCCAAAATAACAAAAACAACCTTACAATGTCTGAAAAACACCGAAACCTTCCTCAGTGGATGGTCAAGACAAACGATAAAGACGCTGAAAAGAAGAAAACGCATGAAACCACTAAAAGGACAGCGAAGAAGCGGCTCAAAAGGTAAAATCTTACAGAACAACTTATTAACGTAGTTATAATGTGAACATAATGTGCGTTTTTATAAATGTTTCTCCGTCGTCCTCAGTGTCGTCGCGTATTGGATGAATGAGAGGGAGCTGTTAGAAACGGCGCTCGATATTCTGAAGGATGAAACGGTAAATATTTTGATCCTTATTTATTTATTGGTGTGTTTTATCTGTTGTTTATGCCACGTGATACTTACCATTATTCTCATTTTTCTTGTAAACGTCAGAAAATGAGTAGAGACGCAGTCCAAGCCCCGGAGGAGGAGGAGGATGAGGTGAAGGTGATCCCGGAGACTGATGATGAAGACTCGACAGATTTACACCACAGCACTCGTGTTTCAAACATCGCCGAGCAAGAAACTGTGCCATATGAAAACTGTGTGGAAGAGAAAACCAATACAAAACCAGACTGCCATTTAAAGCCGAATTCTGATGTTTCAGAACCTCCAGAGAAGCCTGACGAGGATGACGAGGCTCTTAAGCTTGTAAGAGAGATCTTTTTCACGTAATTCAAGCCCCGAGTACACAAAAGGTTTGTTATTGTACTTAAACGAATTTAAGCATCTGTTGAAGAGACATTTACTTATTTATTTATCTATCCTAGTGTTGTTGCAAACAGGGTATTGCTAGCTTTCTTCTGTGGAGCACAATAGGAGATGCTTTGAAGAATGTTCTAGTCGCTCTTTTTCAGTTCAAGATTGGAGTCTAGACTTAGAATCTTTAAAATGCACCACAGAATTGGTCTTAATAAACCTTATTAATATTTTATTTTCGAAACAATTTTTTTGAGGGAATATTATCTCCCCTTGTGTTCCTCAGAAAAAAAGAAAGCGTTTAGGTTTGGAACAATGTAAGTAATTGATTACTTTTTTTTTTTTGTAAAAAGAGTTTACATCTTGAATTTTAATAAAAATAACTGCTTTTACTCAGGAAATGTAAATCTTGTTTGGATCTGCGTGGACTTGTTTGTTTAGGCAACAACCAATAGATCCAAGGTAATGTCTAATTTGACTTTTATACCATCTGCTCTGATAATTGTAAATTGCACACTTGGGTCTTTGGTCCTGTGGGTAAGAATGCAACTTTAAAAACATGAGAACGTTCGATTCCACGCAATAATCAATTGTGTATTTAATCATTTTTTATTTTAAAAGCTAACCTTCAGTGTCTTGAGGCATAAACAGATGTCGCAGGCGTGCAGGTGCATATTTTTATTTGCACTCTCATAAAACAAACAAGACATCCCAAACCTGGGGAAATGTCATATTAAAATGCACAAATAAACAAACTATGTGAGTGTAATTTGTCACCAAATTTATATATATAAAGGGTCTGGTGAATTCTCTTCTGATTGAATTATTACTTGGACCTTAAAGGGTTACTTCACCCAAAACATAAAATTATCATTATTTACTCGCCCTCCTGTCTTTCCAATCCCCTAAGACCTTCTTTCATCTTCAGAACACAAGATATTTTAGGTGAAATCTGAGAGCTCCGGTCCTTGACTAGTTCAATGTTAAGAAAGGTGATATAAAACATGCCTAGATGGCCATCCATGCATGCACAAAGCATAGGCACATGTGAGGTAATACTCTGAGGCGTGGCCAAGTGACTCAAGAAGACGAGCCCTATACTGACACTGAGTAGAAGAAACCGTTGAATAAAGTAGTGGATTTTTTTATGTATGTGCACAAAAGTATTTGTGTAGCTTGATAATATTCTGGTTAAACCACTGAAGGCATATCCGCTTTAGTCGTGATGTACGGAATACTGTTTTCGAGTCCAAGCCGCTGCTAGTTTGACTTGAGAAAATATTCATTTATGACCACTTTTTAGTCATATCACACATTAAAATGATTTTATTATAAAATCATGGTAGACACAACAGTCTGTACACTTGCTGCACCACAGACGGCATTACTTTAACAATTTATAAAGAAAATCATTACTTTCTAGCCATCTGATATTAGGCATGGTTATATTCAGTTGAAGTCAGAAATAATAGCGCCCCCCCCCCCCCCCCTTTTATCTTTGCCGTGATGAGTAAATATTTTACTAGATATTTTTCCAAGACACTTCTATACAGCTTACAGTGACATTTAAAAGCTTAACTAGGTTAACTAGGCAGATCAGAGTAATTAGTTAAGTTATTGTATAACAGTGGTTTGTTCTGTAGACAGTCGAGAAAAAAAATTAGCTTGAGGGGGCTAATAATGTTATCCTTAAAATGGTGTTTAAAAAATTAATAACTGCTTTTATTCTCGCTGAAATAAAACAAATAAGACTTTCTCCAGAAGAAATAATATTATCAGACATATTGTGAAAATTTCCTTGCTACGTTAAACATAATTTGGGAAATATAAAAAAAATAATAATAATAATTCAAATGGGGGGGGCTAATAATTCTGACTTATAGAATACTTATATATATATATATATATATATATATATATATATATATATATATATATATATATATTTTTATATATATATATATATATATGTGTGTGTGTGTATGTATATTTTGCGGTCGTGATCTTCGAAAGTATTACATTGCTTTGTAAATGTTTATTTTTACCATTTGATGAGCCTCTCCATACAGTTTGATATGGCACTTGGACCCAGAAGCTGTTTAACTGAACAAGCAGATAGTCTGTTTCTTCTTCTGGAAACTTGCTGTTTACAAAGGATGAAGGAGCTCTTAGATTTCACCTAAAATATGTTCCTAAGATGAACGAAGCTCTCTGGTGTTTGGAAGATATGAGGGTGAGTAATTAATAACAGAATTTTCATTTTTGGGTGAACTAACACCAAGTTTTAGGAAAAAAAGAAATGCTTTGGCACAAGAAAACACGCATTAGTGTGATTACAGTTATACAAAAATAATGTAGGAAATAGTTTAAATCAAAATGTTCAATATGCTTCCAATGAATTAGTTTACACTGTTAACTGTCATAAAACCAAATACAGTCATGATTTCCTAAAATGTAGATGCATACTTCCTGAGGTGGAGATCTAAATTCTAGTTGTGGACAATCAAAGCCAAATGTCCCAACCAGAAGCTAATACTGTCCTGGCAGGTTGTCTCTAAGGTATTCCTGATGTTTCTTCAGAAGTATCCAATTCATATATATGCCTAATAGTTTTAAAAGGAAGTTCAATGCAATTTATCAATGTTTTGTTTGCCTTAAATTTTTGTGAGTTACATGTGTCATGTTGTCACTGTCATGTGACCTATGCGTTAGTCACATTGCTTTACTACCATTCACAATGGTCTCATAGAGTGATAAAGTGAACACCCTTCACAATTTCAGTATTAAGTATAGAAGTAAACAGTTTTTTTGCCTGGGCATTTCCGGGGCGTGTACCATAAAGCCAGTTTAGCTGGCTAGCTAACTAACTAGGTTTAATTTGCACCAATTCTGGGTTTTAGGTACCATGAAGACAGCGCAAGTTAGCTCAACTGTTCAATAACTGTCATTGTTACCTGAAGTAAAGCCCACAATTGTTGCCAACTTAACTGGCTAGCTAGCTTATCCAGCTTTATGGTAATATAGGATGTTTTAATGAGTAAAATAAGTAACATAAAAGTAAAAAAAAAAAACACCAAAAAGCCTTTGTGGGAATGTGCAGACTGCTGCTTTGTGGATTTATGCTTGTTTAACAGTTGTTTGTCAGTGCAGAGTTTTTTTTTTTTACAGTACTACAAATGACAGATTTCATCAACATTATCTTTTAACTTATTTAGAGGGACTTACAACTGTTATTGTGATTGAAAAGTAAGTGAAATGAGCTTTCAATGTGTTCTGGAGGAGAGTCCGGCTACTGTTCGGCATTCTCTGAGAGGAGTGGTGTCAGGCTGTTAATTTGGCCATCAAAATCACTCATCTGAAGACAAAAGACAATAAGGTTTCAATTCCAGTGTTTTGTAATTCACAAATTAATAAAAAAAAAGGGCAGCAAATAGTTTCTTACACTTTTCGGCTTGTAAACTCCCAGTTTAAATCGACAACAAACCACATCTACGCAGAAACCAACCAGGTTATGTAGCATGCCTGAAGAAACAAATCACAGTCAACCAGTCATTTCAAATAAGATACTTTGGTTAGCATGATTCTCTCTCTCTACTAGAGAAAAGCTTAATTTCAAACTTTTGTCACAATTCAGTGCATGTGTGTGTATATGTGTGTGTATATATATATATATATATATATATATATATATATATATATATATATATATATATATATATATATATATATATATATATATATGACCAGGTAAAATAGCTTGCGTTGCAGTACACTATGTTCAACAAATATTGCAGGAACCAACAAAAGTGCAACAACTTAAATCATACGATAAACACAAAACTGGATCTCTTTCACACTTGCTCCATTGGGCTACCAAGCTGACCAGTCACAGAGCTTGTGATACGCATGGGGATGTGTAGTAACATTTTTTGAGAGGTGTGCATCAGCCAAGGCAAGGAATGTGCGGCCGTGCGAAGGCTACGCCAAACCATCCATGAGCAAGGAAATCCTAAAGTTCAAGTCTCAAGTAAATTTTTGTGATATTAATAATACTAATAATCCCTTACAACTATATAGCGCTTTTCTGGGCACTTAAAGCACTTTACACATAGGGGGGGGATCTCCTCATCCACCACCAGTGTGCCGCATCCACCTGGATGACTCGACGGCAGCCAATTTGCGCCAGACAGCACACCAGCTGATTGGTAAAGAGTAGACAGAGTGATGGAGGAAATTATGATATGGGGAGGGTTAGGAGACCATGATAGACAGTGGCCAGTGGGCAGATTTGGCCAGGATGCCGGGGTTAAAACCCAACTCTTTTTTTTGGAAAGACCTCCTGGGATTTTTTTAATGACCACAGAGACTAAGAACCTCGGTTTAACGTCTCACTCGAAAGACGGCGCTCACTGAGCAGTATAAAGTCCCCGAAACTATACTGGGGCATTAGGACCCACACAGACTGCAGGTTGGGCGCCCACTGCTGGCCTCACTAATGCCACTTCCAGCAGCAACCCAGTTTTCCCATGTGATTTTCCCATCCAGGTACTGACCGGGCACAGCCCTGCTTAGCTTTCATGTTAGAGTTGCCAGCGTGAGACTCGAGCAAGTCAAGTCGGGTCTTTTTGAAAATTTGTCATGCAAGTCTTAAGTCAGAATTGTGCGGCAATGTCTGATTTGAGTCAAATCATGCGATTTGTACCACAAGCAAGTATAAGTGCTGTAAACCTGTCGGTCTTCTACCACTGATATAATTTTAAAGATTATTTTAAGGTCAAAACTTACTTAGTGCTGCTTTAAAATCTTCCATTGTTTTGTTTTTTGTTTGTTAATTAGTTGTTTTTTCTGCTAAGTAATCTCATTTTTTCCCCTAAAGATTTATGTCTTTTCAGTTCAGGCTATCTGTTTACAAACTTTATCCACAATCGTAATTTTAGTTATAAAATTATATATAACTAGTTATATAGCTCCTTTCAAACTTTTTTCAGGTCTACAACAGTTTACATCTTAAAATTCAGTTGTTGTTTTTTGTTTCAGAACAGAATGACGGTTGTTGCAAACTTTTCCTAACATTTACCTTTTTTTAATACAAAAACTTCTATACTCCATTTACCTGTTGTAGAGAAAATGCCTCCAATGATGCCACAGAGACGCACAAGGAACTGCCAGAAGGGCATGTGCTGCTCAGTCACCTTCACCATCAGAGAGCTGATGTCATACTTCATAAAGATCCCAGAAACCCCATGACTCCCCGCTGCATGGTTTATCACTCGCTCCTGCAGAAAACAAGCCAAATATGGCATCATCCTTGGGCAATCATGCGTACATGACACACTTGCACATTTAAAAAAAAATTGCATAGTAAAATGTAGCAAATTGTAAAAAGTTTGAAGCAAAACATTAAACCACAGATGGTTATGAATATATATGTACCCGCTCAGTGACTGAATACTGGTGCGTGTCTGCGTACACCTTGTACGTCTGCAGTTTTGTGGGCACAATGGTAATAAAGTACTGGAACATTTGATTATCTAGTTAAAGGGAAAGAAAAAAAAATTTAATCAAAAAATGTAACTTTTCACTTCAACATTCTTGCTGTTAATATAATATTTGCAAGTAAAAAATAACTCAAACCACATTTAAAAATAATTGTGTAAACAATATATCAAACAAGTGATATAAAAGAATTTAACTTCAAAACAATTGCATACACTACCTGACAAGTCTCGTCGCCTATCAAAGAAACAAGAAATAG